CCCCAAAACCCCAAAACCCCAAAACCCCACTGAACGAAAATTTAATGAATAGATTGGTTATTAAAAATTGAAATGGTAAATAATATAGAGGATGTTCTTTCTCCCAAAAGCCTTCATACTTCTTAATTGTGATTACTTCAAAGATTAGCACAATTAATACAACCGAATATTGCTACATCAGAAAAAAGTTCGGTCTCTTCGCCAAGTACTAAAGCAAGCTCAAGTAGCTCTGATAGTAGTTCTTAAGAAGAAAATGTTTAACCTACAATTGACATTTCATTTTTATTGCCTCTTCTTATATCCGCTGGAGTGGTCATATTTCTGTTAATAGCATGCCTGGTATTCATTAAACTGTTGAAAGTTTACATTGCCAAGAAGAGATTACTTAATAAGATTAATGTGATGACAAGAATTAGAGATATTAGGAATCTTCAGCAATAGTAGCTCGAATAAATAGAATAACCCCCTGGTCCTAGAAGAAACAATTTCTTCGAAGAGATATCCAGGAATAGGTCTGCATAACTTATTCCTCTTTCAACTGAGTAACATGAATAGTTTAGAATGCAGTAAATGATTCACCAAGAAATTATAGATTTACAAGTCCATCATGACAGGCATAATCATCATAGTTTTAATCGAAATGATCCAGGAACATACGCAGTTGTCATTCTATAGCCTGATCGTACTGGTAGTGAAATTAGAAATCGTAGAGAGAGCAGACACAGGCATCATAATAATAGAGAACAGCATTCCAGGTAGAGCAACAGATAAAGTTAAAACGACAGATTTCCCTTCTTAATTGAGAATAACTTTGTAGGGGGATCTAATATATATTTACAAAATCATATGTAAAGAGATAGGTCTTCACTATAGTCATCATTAAGTAATAGTAGTAACATGCATGATATCTACATTGATGAAATATCAAATACTGAAAATGATGAATAGTCTCATAGAAATTTATAAGTGAACACAGTACTCAATTCATAACCTTCCTCTTCCAGAAATTCTTAAAATGTGCCAAAGAAAAAATAGAGGAAGCTAGAAAAATTGATGTTAACCTTCACAATGAAAGGAGAGTTCGACAAAGGATTTGCTGAGTTTGGAGAGAATAATTGTGTCATCTGTTTTGATGACTATGTAAATAATAAGATCATAAGGAAGATTAATAGATGTGGCCATCTGTTTCATAGCGAATGTCTGGATAATTGGATTATATAACATTTAAGCGATCCAAAATGCCCTCTGTGCAACTTAAATATAAAATTTGATGATGAAAGAGAAAATAATTGATGAACATTTAAATGAATCGCCTTTGAAAATAATTTTTGATCAGAACTGTGAATTATATCAAATCGGTAAAGTTATTATTTAAAGATATATATTTAATTATAAGAGCAAGAATGATATTTATCATATTGCAATGAATATTTAAGGTAACTGTGGTTTCAATTAATCTTTGTTCCAATTCTTAACTAAGGGGTTTTGGGGTTTTGGGG